TGAAGCTCCGCTGCTGGAGGGAAGCTGCTAGTTAGTGATGTCACACATCAAAGGGAGGCTGCTGATTGGCTGGAGGAGATCATGTGATCTTAACCAGGAGAGGAGGCTGCTGAGTGGCTGGTGGGAGCTGGAGGAGGCGGGACCTGTGGATTTGATTGGCTAAATGCGGGGTATATGCAGATCATGGGATCTTTCACACTGGTAACCAGTGCTGGTGAGGAGCAGGGCATAACGGCTGCTCATGACATGTGCACTTTATTGTGCCGCTCTGGTGCTTGGAATTGTGGGAAAAGTGTGTGTTTGTAATGTAAACGGAAGCGGATTTAAAAATATTCCTGGATTCCTTTTTTTTTTTTAATAGTTTAATTTAACTTGAATAATCAAATTAAATTCTTAAAACAATTTATTAATGTAATATTACATTTTAATAACAACAGTGGCCTATGAAATGGTTTTTATTTTTTCAGAAATTTCTTGTTTACGGTTTTTATTTTTCTGGAATGCCTTTTTAATTGTTTATTTACATTTTAATAATCAAAAATGATGTCTGATCAACTGAATTCATAAAATGTAGGAAATGCATTAGTTTATTAAAACTTTAACAATATTTGTGCCCAATAAAATTTGTGTTCGACTTTTTCAGAAATTCTGTTCTTGATTGTTTTTTTAATGGTTTACTTACATTTTAATCATCAAAAATGATGTCTAAAGAATTGAATTCATAAAACTTAAAAAAAAATAAAAATCAGAAATTTCTTGTTTCCGGTTTTTATTTTTCTGGAATGCATTTTTAATTGTTTATTTACATTTTAATAATAAAAATTGATGTCTAATTAACTGAATTCATAAAACTTAAATATTTGTTTTTAGAAATTTCTTGTTTATGGTTTTTATTTTTCTGGAATGCATTTTTAATTGTTTATTTACATTTTAATAATCAAAAATGATGTCTAACTAACTGAATTCATAAAACTTAAATTTTTTTTTTTTTGTTGAAATTTATTGTTTATGGTTTTAGTATTTCTGGAATGCATTTTTAATGGTTTAATAATCAATTTAATTTTAATAATCAAAAATGATGTCTAATCAACTGAATTCATAAAATTTTGGAAATGCATTAGTTTATTAAAATTAACAATATTTGTGCACTATGAAATTTGTGTTAGACTTTTTCAGAAATTCTGTTCTGGATTGTTTTTTTTAATGGTTTAATTAAATTTTAATAGTCAAAAATGATCTCTAACCAACTGAATTTATAAAACGTAAAAAAAAATATTTGTTTATTAATATTTACAATATTTGTTCCCTATGCTCCCTATGCTTTTCAGAAATTCTGATTTTAAAGGTTTAATTAAATAAAAAATAAAATAAAACAAAGTCTAATCAATTGATTTTCTATGAAATGTACTTTATTTTTTTATAAATGTCTGTTTTATATATTCTGGATTCTGTATGATTTAATACCATTTATAATCTAAATGGGTGGTAATCAAATGAATGCATAAGCTTTTAGGAACTTTAGTTTTACCGCCCTGGTAACCTCCACATCACTCTTACATCATCATGCTCTCTTGCATCCTAATGCTATTGTAAACTGCACAGATGTGGAGGCAGTTCTGCATGCTGACAGGCGCACAGAGGAACACCATATCTTGGCTTCACCTGTGCCGGGTTGCAGCCGGAAATAACCCATCGACACGCTGATGGTAAATAAAGAAAAAACGATGACATAACAGTTTGACAAAAGCCCTTCTCAGACGCATGACGAACCGCAGCGAAACACTGACAGGAAAACCGCATTTCAACACCTGCAGATGCATGATCCTCGAGGCTCAGGGGATCACACCTCAACCTGAACACTACTGTAAAATATTCTGCACTTTTAGGTTGTAAAATTTGAAATGTAGGAACCTTTCAGATGCATTCATGCTATTAAATCAATATATTATTTATCTATGTAAAATATATACATGCATAGAATGTAGAAAGATATTTTATAGGCATCCATATATTAAAGAAAATCCATTTTACTGGGGGCAGATCATGCAAATCACACGTTTGCAGTGAAACACTGAGCTTTTTAATTAAACTTTAACACGCTAAACAGAAAAAAATAATCGCAAAATGAATGCGTTAACTTTGACAGGCCTAACATATTTTGAATTGCTTGAAATATGATTGGAATCACTTTGAAAACGAAAACATTCATATTTTCAATCATATTTTGTCATATAGGCTACAATAAATTATGAGAACATCATTATAATTTTTTGAGACTTTTGTTTTTGTAATCAGGCTCTCAAAAATTATATAAAAATTTGGATTTAGATTTATCGGCCAATATATCGGTTATCGGCTTTCAAATATAAAGAATTATCGGTTATCGGACAAAATGTTCATATCAATGCATCCACACTTATTTTCATTTAGGTTAACTTGATTTGGTATGTGTATATATATATATAAAATATATAAAAAAAATATAAAAAATATATAATTGAAAATATAATTGACATATTTTACTGGATATTTATATATATCTATTAGGGCTGTCAAACGAGTAATCACGATTAATCGCATCCAAAATAAAAGTTTGTGTTTACATAATATATGTGTGTATAATTATTTTTAATACATAAATACCCACACATGCATGTGTATTTAAGAAATATTTGCATGTATATAGACTAAATGTAGCCTATATATAATGTATATTTTATATAAATATAAACATTTTATTTATAAATAACATATTTTTCTTAAATATATACATGTGTGCATTTATATACAAAATAATTATACACGGTACACACACATATATTATGTAAACACAAACTTTTATTTTGGATGCGATTAATCGTGATTACTCGTTTGACAGCCCTAATAGATATATATAAATATCCAGTAAAATATGTCAATTATATTTTCAATTATATATTTTTTATATTTTTTTATATATTTTATATATATATATATACATACCAAATCAAGTTAACCTAAATGAAAATAAGTGTGGATGCATTGATATGAACATTTTGTCCGATAACCGATAATTCTTTATATTTGAAAGCCGATAACCGATATATTGGCCGATAAATCTAAATCCAAATTTGTATATAATTTTTGAGAGCCTGATTACAAAAACAAAAGTCTCAAAAAATTATAATGATGTTCTCATAATTTATTGTAGCCTATATGACAAAATATGATTGAAAATATGAATGTTTTCGTTTTCAAAGTGATTCCAATCATATTTCAAGCAATTCAAAATATGTTAGGCCTGTCAAAGTTAACGCATTCATTTTGCGATTATTTTTTTCTGTTTAGCGTGTTAAAGTTTAATTAAAAAGCACAGTGTTTCACTGCAAACGTGTGATTTGCATGATCAGAGAACATGTGCACATCTTAGTGACTTATTTTATGGTTTTGCATTTTTAAATATGATCTCAGCATTAATCTCAGCTGTTTTTAGTAAAAGGGGAAGACAAAGTAATATGAAATATTACATGTACAGAATTGGGTCTCTGCGGCTCCACAAATGAGGAAGTGAAAGCAGATCCTTCATATTTTCATACGAGTTAGCACTGGATATTAGTTTATGAGTTGTATTAAAGGATTAAATAAAAAGCATTACTGCACTATATTCTTGTGCACTATATAATATATTAGGGATGTTGATTAAACATGTTAATTTAATTAAGTAGTTATGGAAAAATAAGGCATTAAAATGATCAGACTATAGAATACAGTTAGAATGACCCTAAAAATTAAGATATTGGAGCAAAAAATGTCCCTGTAGGAGTTTGTCTTATATTTATATAATGATATATTTAAGCAATATCACACGAGTGCTGTTTTTGTCCCGAATAGCACGAGCGCAAACGTGGTATTGATTTTATACAACTGTTCAATAAATAAGAAGTTAATATTGTGTTACGTTTTACACACAATATTGTCTGTTTTGCTAAATTTTGCAAATAAAATATTACCTATAAAGCCAGAGAAGAACTGTTGTGCGTCTCTGAGCAACACTAAAGTGCTTTGTTTTGGAATGAATCAACGTTTTGAGTGAATCAATCGGGTGAACCAATGATTCAATGACTCGTTCATAAAGAGAGCCATTTACTACATTTCTGAATGAATCAGCTGTTTGAACAAATCAATCAGGTGAACCAATGATTCAATGACTCGTTCATAAAGCGAGCCATTTACTTCATTCCTGAATGAATCAGCCATTTGAACAAATCAATCGGGTGAACCAATGATTCAATGACTCATTCATAAAGAGAGCCATTTATCTAATTCCTGAATGAATCAGCCGTTTGAACGAATCAATCAGGTGAACCAATGATTCAATGACTCGTTCATAAAGCGAGCCATTTACTTCATTCCTGAATGAATCAGCCATTTGAACAAATCAATCGGGTGAACCAATGATTCAATGACTCATTCATAAAGAGAGCCATTTATCTAATTCCTGAATGAATCAGCCGTTTCAACGAATCAATCGGGTGAACCAATGATTCAATGACTCATTCATAAAGAGAGCCATTTATCTAATTCCTGAATGAATCAGCCGTTGAACGAATCAATCGGGTGAACAAATGATTCAATGACTCGTTCATAAAGAGAGCCATTTACTTAATTCCTGAATGAATCAATTCAGGAAACAAACAAACAAAATTACAACAAAAATGTTTTCGAAATATTCATAAAAACTATAATAGCATCTCAATGATACTAAAATAACACTGGTTTCTGTCTGTCTGGAAAATCATTACAATGCAAATGTGAAAATCAAAATGAAATTACTTGCTCCACCTCTGAAACGACTTTCCTTTTCTGCTGATGTAACCGAGGCCGTGTGGGCGGGGCTAAATAATATGCACCAATAATATCACTGAACACGTTTCATGACCCAATGAAATCGCTACAAATACAATCTGCAAACCGGATACCCCGTTTGACGCATGAACAGAGCATCAGGTCTCGCGTCTCACCTTTAAACGCAGGCAGTTTCTGTAGTTCTCGGTTGTTGCTCACGCTGAATCTGGACGAGCTCGTTCTCTTCTCTTTCTTAAGCGTGGTTTGAGATCCCGACGGCTTCCCCTTTAGCAGCTGTGTGGTCGGCGGGACGCTGTTCCCACCCTTCTTGTTCGATCCCTGATGAAGACATTTATATTCTCATTTCACAGTTAAAGTAAAGGGATTGATGCACAATGTGTGCATGAGTCTGTGTAAGCTTGTTTCTGCTACAGAACAAAACATTTTAAAAGATAATTGCGACTTTTTATCTCAGAATTGCGAGTTTACATCTGAGATATAAAGTCACAATAGCGAGATATAAAGTCAGAATTGTGAGATATAAAGTCACAATAGCGAGATATAAAGTCAGAATTGCGTGACAAAAAGTTGCAATTGCGTGATATAAAGTCAGAATTGCGTGATAAAAAGTTGCAATTGCGTGGTATAAAGTCAAATTGCGTGATATAAAGTCAGAATTGTGAGATATAAAGTCAGAATTGCGTGATAAAAAGTTGCAATTGCGTGATATAAAGTCAGAGTTGCGTGATAAAAAGTTGCAATTGCGTGATATAAAGTCAGAATTGCGAGATATAAAGTCAGAATTGCCTGATAAAAAGTTGCAATTGCGTGATATAAAGTCAGAATTGCGTGATAAAAAGTTGCAATTGCGTGGTATAAAGTCAGAATTGTGAGATATAAAGTTAAAATTGCGTGATATAAAGTCAGAATTGTGAGATAAAGTCAGAATTGCGTGACAAAAAGTTGCAATTGCGTGATATAAAGTCACAATTGCGAGATATAAAGTCAGAATTGCGTGATAAAAAGTTGCAATTGCGTGGTATAAAGTCAAATTGCGTGATATAAAGTCAGAATTGTGAGATATAAAGTCAGAATTGCGTGATAAAAAGTCAGAATTGCGTGATAAAAAGTCAGAATTGCGTGATAAAAAGTTGCAATTGCGTGATATAAAGTCAGAATTGCGAGATATAAAGTCAGAATTGGGAGATATCAAGTCACAATTGCGTGATATAAAGTCAGAATTGCGTGATAAAAAGTTGCAATTGCGTGATATAAAGTCAGAATTGCATGATATAAAGTCAGAATTGCGAGATATAAAGTCAGAATTGCGAGATATAAAGTCAGAATTGCGAGATATAGAGTCAGAATTGCGTGATATAAAGTCAGAATTGCGAGATATAAAGTCAGAATTGCGAGATATAAAGTCAGAATTGCGAGATATAAATTCAGAATTGCATGATATAAAGTCAGAATTGTGAGATATAAAGTCAGAATTGCGAGATATAAAGTCAGAATTGCGTGATATAAAGTCAGAATTGCGAGATACAAAGTCAGAATTGCGAGATATAAAGTCAGAATTGCGTGATAAAAAGTTGCAATTGCGTGATTTAAAGTCAGAATTGCGAGATATAAAGTCAGAATTGCGAGATATAAAGTCACAATTGCGTGATATAAAAATATTTTTGTTAGTTGAAATAAAGTAAAATATTAAAAAAATTAAACTTATTTTATTAAACAATTCTTATTTTTAGGGATGCACGATATATTGGCCACCATATCGGTATCGGACGATATATGTTTATTTGTAATGTTATCGTTATCGGCCCGATAAGAGCATGTGGCCGATATATTAAAGCCGATAAATAATGTATTCCTTCAGCTGAGACACTTCAGATGCGCACTGTTCAACATGATGGTTTTGAAATACTTAAAATATGACTGGAATCACTTTGAAAAGGAAAAGAGAGTCATATTTTCCATATTTTCAATCATATTTTTGTCATATAGGCTACATAAAATTATAATGAGTACATTATAATTGTGTGATTGGGACATGGTGAGACTTTTGTTTTTGTAATCAGGCTCTCAAAATTCATTAAAAAAAATTGGATTTAGATTTATAGGCCAATATATCGGTTATCAGCTTTCAAATATAAAGAATTATCGGCCAAAATGTTCATATCGGTGCATTCCTACTTATCTTCATTTGGTTTAACTTGATGAGCTATATATAAAATATTAACGAAATTGACAAATACACACAACAAAATTATAATAAAATTACTATACACACACACACACATAAAAAACATTAGATAGATAGATAGATAGATAGATAGATAGATAGATAGATAGATAGATAGATAGATAGATAGATAGATAGATAGATAACAAAATCCAGTCTGAATTACCTCATGTTCGGAGTTCTCCTGTCCTCCTGATTTACCAACTTTTGCAGATTTTGTTGAATCCTATAAAGAAAATAAAGACTATAAAAAAAAGTGATCTTGCATTTTCCCCTAAAAAAATAAGAACTTAATAATTTTGTGAACAGAAAGAGACCAGCTAATATTAGCAATCCAGCTTAAGCACCTAATGTTCAAACCTTAACTGCAACACCAAATACACTATAAAAAAATACCCAAACTTTATGTTTATATACAAGAATTTTGTACATTCAGTCACGCATTCGGTGAAAACAATTTACATAAAAGAGAAACCACCAATCCTGCTAACCGGCTAAAGTTAGCTTCGCTACGAAACCTGAACGTATACAGAAATAAACTGTACATAAATACACACACAGTCCATTTAAAGTCACTTAAAGTGCTCTGTTTGGCATCTAGGGATGTAAATCTGTTGAATGTTTTAAATCCCACGCCTATATAACCTGGTTTATGGTGAGCAGAGCTGGAGTTAGCATGAATGCTAATGTCTCGAGCTGAGGGGTGAAACTAATCTGCCTCTGTGATCCGCGTATAAATCCATATTTTTCCCAATTTTCTCAGATTTTCCTCCACATAAGACCTCGGGAATATGTATCTCACCTTGTCTTTCTTGACTTTGTTCGGCATGGCACTCAGAAGCGTGTGTTTCCAGTCAGTCAGTCAGTGTGTGTCTGTCAGAGAAACTCCTGCAGCTGGTTAATTACCACAGTAAACTAAACTAAATTAAACTAAACTGAATTAAACTGAACAGAACAGATAATGAACTTATCCTGCATCTTCACTTCTCCTGCCATTCAGCTGTTCTTTCATTCTCATCTGAGGAAATATGCAGGCATGAAATAACGCATTTCATTAATGTAATATTTTACACTGAGGAGGACATTAATCATTCAGTGTTGCAGATCAATAATGTGTGCTTTATAAACACAATATGATTTATGTTCACTTCGCTGCTTTATGGACTCGTGTGTGTCTCTCGAGTGTTTGAAATGTTGGCGCTGTTTTATTATGTGTTTTGCATTATTCTGCTGCCATCTGATGGACACCCACTGTATGAGCTCTACATTAATATTAGCTTGGTACATGCAGTTTAAACACATGTTATATAATATATATATATATACCCTCGGTTTCACAGACTAGACTTAAAGCCTAGTCTCTATATAATATATATAAACATATAGTGCTATAATCACATCTAAAATAAAAGTTTATAAATATACAGTGTGTGTGTGTGTGTGTGTGTGTGTGTGTGTGTGTGTGTGTGTGTGTGTGTGTGTGTACACACATACATAATATATATATATATATATATATATGCACACACGAAAACTTTTGTATTTACTTGGGTTATCTTAGTGTAATATAAAAATTTGTTTGATGATCTAAATCATTTAAGTGTGACAAATATGCACACAAAAAAATCAGAAGGGGGCAAATAATTTTTCACAGCACTGTATATAGTAACAATTTACAGTAAAATTGAACATTTAAAAAACTTCTTCATGTTTCGTGGTAACATTTTAAAATAAGGTTTTACTTTTTTTTAAATTATGGTTTTGTTTCGTGTTTTTTTAATAACATTTTACAATGTTTTGGGGAACTTTTAAACACATTTTTGTTTTTAAATATTTTTAGTTTTTGCATTATGTTCTTGGTAACAATTAAAAAAAGGTTTTGAACGTTTGTATGTTTAAAAAAAATTATTGAAAACATTTGGTTATTTATTTACATTAAGGTTGAACATTTTACAACATTTCTATGCTTTTAAACATTTGTTAAAAATCCACAAAATATTTAGGAAATAAGTAAACACATTTTTTTAAAAGGTTTTCAAATCTTGTTTTTACATTTTTCTAGTAAACATTCTTAAGTTTGTACTTTTTTAACAAACTTGTTTAAAACATTCTTGTTTTTAAGTAATATTGACCATTTTTGTAATAATTTTAAATAAGGTTTTGTCTTGTTTTTAACGTTAGGTTTTTTTTCAATTAATTTACAATAAGGCTGTATTTTAAAACATTTGTATGTTTTTAAGATGATGCATTAACCATTAAAATATATATTTAAACGGTAAAGTACATTTGTCAGATAAGAATGCATCATTGTAGCATGTAATTAAATTGATCCTGTTTTTAACTAACCCGATTTATGTTTTCATTGACTGAAACTTGCTGTAACGTAACCTCTGATTCAGACGCTTATCGTCTCTAGTTTCGGATGATAAACATGAAGACGCCGTCATCAAATGACCCGATATGCTGAACTTTATTTCAGGATATCAATAATACAGTTTCAATGTCATATTTTACATCCCATAAACACTCAAAAATCAACATTGGAATGTTATTAAATACAAAAAATGTGCAAATACAACTCAAAAGAATACAAAAAAGGGAAGGTGGGATGACAAGAGGGTCAATGAGATCTTTTTACACAGAGCTAGAGACAGTGAGTGTGTCCTCAGTCACTGTTTATAATTATATAATCATTGTTCATGCGTGTTCAGTCGACCTCCTCCATGCGTGAGGCGTCGTCGTCTCCCTCGAGCACCGGCATCTCCTCGGCCGGAGCTGAACTCGCCTCTTCTGTGGGAACATCGTCCTCGTCGATGCCTGACACACACACACAGTCTTTAAGCCATTGAATGTCATAATGAATGCCATTACACATTCAGTGTGTTTTAAACACACTCTTTTTTCTGCACTGCAGTTTACTACAAGTTTGAGTTTGTTTAAACTTTTTTAAAATATGTTTGTTTTTACTTTAATATTTTGGTTTTGCTGTTTACTTTATAACATTCTAAAATAAGGTTTATTTTTTAACACTTAAGTATAATTTTAAAGAATTAAAAAAAATTTAAAACATTTTTTATATTTGTTTTAAGCTTGTACTTTTCTAACATTACGTTTAATTAAAACATTTTTGTTTTGCTGTTTTCTTGGTAACATTCTAAAATAAGGTATATTTTTAACACTTAAGTATCATTTTAAAGAATTTTACAAAAACATTTTATTATTCTAACGGAATAAAAACATTTTTTTTAATTTGTTTTAAGCTTGTACATTTTTAACATATTTTTACGTTTTATTTTTTTTTTTTAAAACATTATAATTTTGGTTTTGCTGTTTTCTTGGTAACTCTAAAATAAGGTATATTTTTAACACTTTAGTATAATTTTAAAGAATGTTAGACATTTTTTCTTTTTTCTTTTAAAAACTTTTTTTATATTTGTTTTAAGCTTGTACTTTTCTAACATATTTTTACGTTTTTAACATTTTTAAAAAACATTTTTGTATTTGTTTAGCTGTTTTCTTGGTAAGATTCTAAAATAAGGTATATTTTTAACACTTAAGTATAATTGTTAAGGTTTTTACACATTTTTGTGAATTTTTTTTTAAGTTTTTTTTAAAAAATTTGTTTTAAAATAAGGTATATTTTTTAACACATGTATCATTTGTAAAAAAAAAAAAAAAAAAAACTACATTTTTTTTAGCTTGTACATTTTTAACAAAAAAAAAACAAAAAAAAAAACAACCAACTCCTAACCTAAGCCGAGTTTGATCATCCTGTAGATGCGGTTGGAGTGCGTCTGCGGGTCGTCCAGCGTGAAGCCCGAGGAGAGCAGCGCCGTCTCGAACAGCAGGATCACCAGATCCTTCACCGATTTGTCGTTCTTGTCGGCTTCTGCCTTTATCCGCAGGGTCTCGACGATGGGATGGTCCGGGTTGATTTCCAGGTGCTTCTTGGCGGCCATGTAGCCCATGGTGGAGTTGTCTCTCAGAGCCTGAGCCTTCATGATCCTCTCCATGTTGGCCGTCCAGCCGTACGTGCTTGTGACGATGCAACAAGGCGAAGACACCAGACGGTTCGAGACGGTGACCTGACGCAAACATAAACATGCCAGTTAACAATCAAACCTGATGTATAGAAGCACCACTGCAATGTTTAATTCAGGGCTTTTCAAAATGGGGTCCAGGAATGTTTTTTGAGAAAGATAATGTTCCCTTTTGAGGGAACCCGCACTGCGTCGATGACGGAGGAATATTTTTAACACTTTAGTATGATTTTAAAGAATTTTACAACAATTTTTTAACATTCTTTTTAACGTTTTTTTTTTTTATTTGTTTGAAGCTTGTATATTAACTTTTTCTTTTTTTTAAAAGTTTGTACATTAACATATTTTTACGTTTTTTTTCTTTACTTTTTAAAAAAACATTTACGTTTTTGTTATGCTGTTTTCTTCATGTCATTCTTGCTCTCCTCCGCCCTGCTATTTTCGTTTTAATTTTGTCTCGAATTAAATACAGCCATAATAACCAGACAAGTGAAACATGGTCTGAAAGGTAGCCTGAATTAAAATATTCTACCATTTTAATGAATCAGAATTAAATGCAGCCCGATAATATTATTCATTTATTTAACCGGTCTCATAATCTACCTGTCCAAAATCCTGCCGCGCCACAGAGCGCCGTTTACATAGTTTTATATTAAATCTACATTTATTTGTCTAATATCGTCGTTAATGTATATACTGACAATACTGTGCTGCAATATACATTTAGTTTTACATTCATTCACATAAATCAGCTGCGTGGATGAAAATTGCTGATGTCATCAGATTTTTTCAGGTGATATTCTCAACTCGTTCACTTAACGGACGCTCTGAGGTTGACCTTTTTTTTTTTTAAAGTAAAATATTGAGAGAAAAAAAGGCAAAATTCACATGTATAGCTGTGGCAAAAGAAAACTTTTGCATGCAATTTTATTTTTTTGTTTAATTGAATTTGCATCTCTGTGTTCAGACTCGGCAACGATTGTATTTAATTGTAGAGTACAGTCATAACATAGTACAGACATTATCTTAATTCCATAATGTCCTTAAACATAACAATATTTCTGGCCGTAAACTGAGAAAGTGCGCGTCCGGTGTGCAACGACGCAGTGCGAGTTCCCTCGAAAGGGAACATTATAATTGTGTGTTTGGGACGTTGATTTTAATGGTGAGACCTTTGTTTTTGTTGTCAGGCTCTCAACAATTTGGATTTAGATTTATCGGCCAATATATCGGTTATCGGCTTTGAAATATAAAGAATTATCGGTATCGGCCCAAAATTTACATATCTGTGCATCCCTACATTAATTGATCATTACCTTCTCAACCTTCTTCTCCAGGATGTCCTTCATGATCTTGCACAGGGTTTCGAACTTGGCCTTCTTCTCCTCCTGCTTCTTCTTCTCCTCCTCGTCCTCGGGAAGCTCCAGACCCTCTTTGGTCACGGACACCAGGTTCTTGCCCTCGAAGTCCTTCAGCTGCTGAACGCAGTATTCGTCGATGGGCTCGATCATGTAGATCACCTCCAGGCCGGCTTTGCGCAGACGCTCCACGAAGGCCGAGTTCGCCACCTGGTCTTTGGTCTCGCCTATAAATATAGGATTTGTATTAAATTAAATCTGAGATCGAGAATCGAAATCGAAAATTGAATCAAGAATCGAATCGTGAGCTTGCGAATCGATATAGAATTGGAATACCCAGCCCTAGTTGAAATAATGTTTAAGTTGATTAAGCAACCACTGACCGGTGATGTAGTAGATGTGCTTCTGCGTGTCCTTCATGCGCGTGACGTAGTCTTTGAGGGAAACCATCTCGTCTCCAGAAGCGGATGTGTAGTAGCGAAGCAATTCTGACAACTTCTTCCTGTTCTGAGAGTCTTCATGGATGCCCAGCTGTGTGTGAGGAAAACATCATATTCATTTACTCCTTCAATAACCTTTAACCTTTTGCACTTCACCTCACGGGTCAATAATATGATTTCTATTTTTTAATGATCTTTTTTTTTTTTTTTACCTTTAAATTACTAGATTTGATTAAATAATAATAAATAAATAAGCACATTCCTCACATTCTTTCAACTTAAATTCAAAATAACTCACAATTTCATGCATAACCCTTTTAATTCAGCTCTAAATATCTTACATTGGGAGTCTTTGCCGACCTCTTGTAGAAAATTAATAATAACACATGATATTTTATGACTCTAGATGGGCTTATGTCTCTATATGGAGCAGAGGAGCTGTTCCTCTGGGTCCTAAAGTCAGTTCACTTCAGTGTGCATTCACATACACATTTAGACATTATAAGATAATTTTTTGGTAAAGTTTTAGCATTTTTAGTTTGAATTTTTAGGTTTTTCTATGTGAACTGAAGCATTCCTCACATTCCACTCATTCCTAAGGGGGTCAAACTGACCAACGAGGGAAGGATTTGTTACTTTTTTAAATTTAAACCACAAAACTCCTTGAATCCATTCAAGTGCGACAAAAGTCCTGGGGTCTTGGACCCCTCTGATGAACACTCAATAAAAAATAAAAAAAAACGAGTTTCGGGTCAAAAGTACCTAAGGGAAGGATTAAAGCACTTGTTTTAAGCGATAAGAGCACCAGTTTTCACCTTGATGTTCTTGGAGAAGTGCTCGTAAAGCTTCTTGTAGTTGTCTTTGTCGTCGGCCAGTTCGGTGAAGAGATCCAGACACTTCTTGACCAGGTTCTTGCGGATGACTTTCAGGATCTTGCTCTGTTGAAGCATCTCTCTGGAGATGTTCAGCGGCAGATCCTCAGAGTCCACGACACCCTTGATGAAGTCTGGGAGGAAAGATGGATCATATTAACCCTATTGTCTCATATTTGATATGCACCTTTTTCGAAGGCCTGTAAATGATCAAAACTAGGGATACGCAATATATCGGCCACCATATCGGTATCGGCCGATATCGGTTAATTTGTAATGTTATCGTTATCGGCCAGGGGTGCGTTTCCCAAAGCCAACTATGGCCGCAAGTTCCGTCGTTACCAATAGAGTTCAATGGAAATTGCGATCATAGTTGATAACGATGCTTTCGGGAAACGCACTCCAGATAAGAAAATTTGGCCGATATATCAAAGCCGATAAATAATGGATAATTTCCTTCAGCTGAGGACGAGGCTTTTATTGGTGAGACTTTTGTTTTAGTAATCAGACTCTCAAAAATTATATAAAAACTTGGATTTAGATTTGTCGGCCAATATATCGGTTATCGGCTTTCAAATATAAAGAATTATCGGTTATCGGTATCGGAAAATGTTTATATCGGTGCATCCCTAATCAAAACTTTGAAAAATCTACAACAAATCTGCACTGATTTTTAACAAGTAAACATAATAACTTTTATATTGTTAGTAATATTTCAACTGCACTGAAGCAGCTTCGGTTTACTTGATTATCAGACATCATTTATTAGAAAGTATCAAATATGATCATCAGGCTTTTGAAGAAGGTTTATCTCTCAATCTGTCACGGTGTGGGTTTTGTGTTTTGTTCCTTGTTCTTGTCTGTCATGTGATTCCCTGTTTGTCTTGTTATCCTGCCATGTGTCTTGTTTCATGTTCAGCTGTTCCCCGTTTTGATTAGTCTCCCCATGTGTTTCTAATTTACCACGCCCCCTTGTTATCTTGTTTAGCTTGTTTTGTCTGTGTATTTAAACCCCTGTGTTTCAGTTGTTGGCTGTCGGTTGTTGAAGTTGTTTAATGTTACTACTGTCTTGTTCTGAGTTCCCTGGATTTCCTGTTTGTTTCTGTTTAATTAAATGTGCTTGCGATTGGATTCACTCTCTGTTTCATCCTTGCTGCCGCGTAACAGAACAACCGACCGCCAATGAATCCAGCAGCACGGATCTCGTCTGATCTTCCCAGCATGGACCGGGAGTTTGCTGGGAAAACCGCGGCCTTAGCCCTGAACAGCCCGGATTTGTTTCAGTTTACCTGGGGGTTTGCTGCACTTGCTGCCTCATGCACCCTAGGGAATGAGGCTATAAAATTGTGTTACCGGCTGGGGGCTAAGGCGGTCAACCCTAGGGAGCTCCCCGATCTCTCCGGCCTGGATTGGAGAGAGGCACTCTCCAGTTGTCTGGAGAGCTTCAGCCCGGGGTACGCCAGGCCTTCAACACTGGTCCCAGTTCCGGTGGTTCCGAGCAGTGTTGGGCAAGTTACTTTTAAAAAGTAATTAGTTACAGTTACTAGTTACTTCTTCCAAAAAGTAACTAAATTAGTAACTCAGTTACAAATTTTAAAAGTAACTAGTTACTTAAGAAAGTAACTATTGCGTTACTTTCAAGTAAAATTAAATTTTAAATGCTCAAATGTGACCCCACCTCTACCCCTATTTAACGGATTTTAACACATGTGCATGTTCAATTATTTATGATAAATCTGAATTTTATAATGAAATGGACACTTAATACAATACATTATTAACAGAAACATGAAACATTGTACACACATCTAAAAAAAAATGTTGCCGGTGGACAAAGTGAGACTAGCCTCCAATCAAATGCCAGTATGTAGATATTATGTTTATATAGTGGATCAATGCAAATAACACAATAGATGTTTTGGAACTTTTGATATTTATTGCCCCTCAACAGGCCACAACTGGGCAAAATTAAATTAAGCTTGTTAAGCTGTGGAGTTATATGTTCTCATTAACTATATTATTTTATGTTTCTTACTGTTATTTTGTTTTTACTTTATGCTATTGACGGTTGTATACTAAAAATGTGCAAGAGTTCATTGTGCGCATGTGTGAACAAATGGGGACTTTTATTTTGACTCAGCTTGTGTTCCTTCCTTGAGATGAATGTCGTGCTGCTGCTCCCTCGTGCACTGATGTTATGCCAGCGCATTGAGATGAAAACTAACAAATAAATAACACTGAGAAATTGTATCTGGATTGTTCTTTAGTGGATGGATGATCGCAACATATTGTGCATGGACATGACGGACGGAAATGAAAACTTAACATAAGCAATATACCATTTAGAGAAGGCTACTTTTGGATTATTTGGGCTCGTCGGCATACCTGTCTCTCGTTGACTGACTGGCTTGTGTTCTTCGTTGTGTCCTGTCCTGTCCGACTATGCGTTATGATGGGTCGTTCGCAATTCATGAGCGTTAGCTGTTAGTGATGATGGGTCGTTCGCGAATGAGCGTTAGTGATGATGGATCGACTCGTTCGCGATTCGCGAATGAGCCGACTCTTTTAGGTGAACGTCGGTAGCTGGCTCGCATATCTGAAGAGCCGACTCTTACAAATTTAGCCTATAGAAATTAAATAATTATGTAATAAAAATTGAAATATTATAGTCAAAGTAATTTAAAGAGCCGTTTGTGAGCCAAAAGAGCCGGCTCTTTTCAGTGAGCTGAGTCAAAAGAGCCGAATGCCCATCACTAATATGCGTGCTTTAGAACACCCGCCCAACTCTACCTCTGATTGGCTTACAATGACATTTTACTCTACCTCAGCCAATCGTCAGCATGTATGCGCTTGTCTCGTGCTCTGCCCACTAACCAAGGAAGAACAATAAAAAATGTATTTGCCTCTCGCTCGGAGATCTAGTTGGTCTGATGAAAAAAAACAGCTTCATCAGTTATAGTAACGCGCCGCATTTTTTGGCAGTAACGGTAACGGCGTTATTAAGATGAGAAGAGTAATCAATTAGATTACTCGTTACTGGAAAAAGTAATGCCGTTAGTAACGGCGTTATTTATAACGCCGTTATTCCCATCACTGGTTCCGAGTCCGGTGGCCCGGAGGAGGAGGAGGAGAAAGGCCTCCTCAAAGACCGTCCAGCCAGAGACCGTCCAGCCAGAGACCGTCCAGCCAGAGACCGTCCAGCCAGAGACCGTCCAGCCAGAGACCGTCCAGCCAGAGACCGTCCAGCCAGAGCTTCACGTCAGCCACGTCCAGCCAGAGCTTCACGTCAGCCACGTCCAGCCAGAGACCGTCCAGCCAGAGACCGTCCAGCCAGAGACCGTCCAGCCAGAGACCGTCCAGCCAGAGACCGTCCAGCCAGAGACCGTCCAGCCAGAGCTTCACGTCAGCCACGTCCAGCCAGAGCTTCACGTCAGCCACGTCCAGCCAGAGCTTCACGTCAGCCACGTCCAGCCAGAGCTTCACGTCAGCCACGTCCAGCCAGAGCTTCACGTCAGCCACGTCCAGCCAGAGCTTCACGTCAGCCACGTCCAGCCAGAGCTTCACGTCAGCCACGTCCAGCCAGAGCTTCACGTCAGCCACGTCCAGCCAGAGCTTCACGTCAGCCACGTCCAGCCAGAGACTGTTCACGTCACGTCTGCCCAGCCAGAGACTGTTCACGTCACATCTGCCCAGCCAGAGACTGTTCACGTCACGTCTGCCCAGCCAGAGACTGATCACGCCACGCATGCGCCGCCTGAGTCCTCAGTGACCGCAACACTGGCCATTATGGCCACAGCCATGTGGTGTGTGTGGGCTACGCACACCCTTGAGCCAGAGCCCGCTGATCCTGCGCCAGAGCCCGCTGATCCTGCGCCAGAGCCCGCTGATCCTGCGCCAGAGCCCGCTGATCCTGCGCCAGAGCCCGCTGATCCTGCGCCAGAGCCCGCTGATCCTGCGCCAGAGACGATTCAGGTCCAGCCTGCCCAGCCAGAGACGATTCACGTCCAGCCTGCCCAGCCAGAGACGGTTCACGTCCAGCCTGCCCAGCCAGAGACGGTTCACGTCATGCCTGCCCAGCCAGAGACGGTTCACGTCATGCCTGCCCAGCCTGAGATGATTCATGTCATGCCTGCCCAGCCTGAGACAGATCCGTCCTGCATCAAGCCTTCGCCGCTGGTTCCGTCCAGACCAGAGACCCCTTCGCCGCTGGTTCCGTCCAGCCCAGAGACCCCTTCACCGCTGGTTCCGTCCAGCCCAGAGACCCCTTCACCGCTGGTTCCGTCCAGCCCAGAGACCCCTTCACCGCTGGTTCCGTCCAGCCCAGAGACCCCTTCACCGCTGGTTCCGTCCAGCCCAGAGACCCCTTCACCGCTGGTTCCGTCCAGCCCAGAGACCCCTTCACCGCTTGTTCCGTCCAGCCCAGAGACTAGTAATGACTCTGTCACTCTCCCCATTAAATTTTTTGGGGGGGGCCATAGGGCTCCGCCATGGCCGCCCGAAGGGCCTCCATCGCCATGGCCACCCGAAGGGTCCGCACCGCCATGGCCGCCCGAAGGGTCCGCACCGCCATGGCCGCCCGAAGGGTCCGCACCGCCATGGCCGCCCGAAGGGTCCGCACCGCCATGGCAGCCCGAAGGGTCCGCACCGCCATGGCCGCCCGAAGGGTCCGCACCGCCATGGCCGCCCGAAGGGTCCGCACCGCCATGGCCGCCCGAAGGGTCCGCACCGCCCTGGCCGCCCGAAGGGTCTCCACCGCCCTGGCCGCCCGAAGGGTCTCCACCGCCCTGGCCGCCCGAAGGGTCTCCACCGCCCTGGCCGCCCGAAGGGTCTTCACCGCCCTGGCCACCTGAACTGCCTGCTCCACCCTGGTCGCCTGCACAGCCTGGTCTGCCCACGCTCCATGGCCCAGGTCCACCATGTCCTGGTCCCGTTCCCCTGTGCGGGCCTGGCCCTCCATCCCTCCCCCAGACCGCCTCCGCTTCACCACCCTCCTGAACTATTGTTTTTTGTTTTTTATGGGCGTCGGGAGCCGCCCATAGGGGAGGGGCTATGTCACGGTGTGGGTTTTGTGTTTTGTTCCTTGTTCTTGTCTGTCATGTGATTCCCTGTTTGTCTTGTTATCCTGCCATGTGTCTTGTTTCATGTTCAGCTGTTCCCCGTTTTGATTAGTCTCCCCATGTGTTTCTAATTTACCACGCCCCCTTGTTATCTTGTTTAGCTTGTTTTGTCTGTGTATTTAAACCCCTGTGTTTCAGTTGTTGGCTGTCGGTTGTTGAAGTTGTTTAATGTTACTACTGTCTTGTTCTGAGTTCCCTGGATTTCCTGTTTGTTTCTGTTTAATTAAATGTGCTTGCGATTGGATTCACTCTCTGTTTCATCCTTGCTGCCGCGTAACACAATCGTCATTGTATTGCATTGCATTATATGCATTGATCATAAAACTAAGCATTTAAATATCATCTGACTAAGACATATTATTGGCAAATATTGATATTTAAATGCATTTTATGTAAGTATCTGCTACTGTTATATAAAAAAAAAAATCACAAGCACTTCATCTTATTTGTCCATTTGAATATCAGCATCTGCTGTTTTTTCCTTACTATATCATACTTTACAAGCCATAAAAACTTGATGTATTAAAAAAAAGTTTAGATTTTTAGAATATGTCTTCCAGATACTTCTCATGTCACGCTTTAGAGGGTTAAAAACACAGCAAAATAAACAACACTGAGACTTAAGGTTACCTAAAAGCACTGTGAAATCTGTGTGGTGTTTGCGTCTTAAGAGTATGTTCAGGATCAGACTTTGATTTGATTCTTACTGAGGTACTCTGGGATGAGCTCGTCACAGTTGTCCATGATAAAGACCCTGCGCACGTACAGCTTGATGTTATTCTTCTTCTTCTTGTTCTCGAAGAGGTCGAATGGAGCTCGACGAGGAATGAAGAGCAGCGCGCGAAACTCCAGCTGACCTTCCACAGAAAAGTGCTATATGGAAAAACAAACACACAATCAAGTCGGTTAAACTAAACCTTCGCGTATCGGTCAAAAATAACCCAACTTTATTTATATATTTTTAATTAAATTAATGTACTATATCATTTAGTTTGATGTTTTTTATTTCATATTTTGTATTTTTAGGGGATTTTATGGTACTAAATTATATTTACGCTGTATTTATAATCCATTTATTCACTTCTTGAGCGTAGACCTGAACATTTTATTTCCAACTTAAACTGTGGAGAATCTCGAATGCTTTAGAGCGACAGACTGAAGTTTGATCTCTTATTAAAGACGACACTTGGCAGATTATTGCTTAAGTGAAAAAAAAAAAAGTGAAAAAAAGGGTACTTAAAGTTACAGAATTTTACGTGCATTATGAAAAATACACAAAAATACTATTTAAATTTTCTATACCAAGTTTCGTACCATTCCGATACCAGTCAAAATTAAGGAATAAAAAAAAAATCTTATCCCATTTCTTACCAAATTGGGGTAAGAAAAATAATCTTGTTTTCCATTTGAATTAAGATACTTTTTCTGACCCCATTGACAGAAAATGTTGCTTGTTTTAAGAAAAAAACTCACTTCATTTAGATTTTCCTCCCAGAAAACAAGACATACTATCTTATGGCATTTTACTACTCTAGTAAAAGCATCGTGATTTAAGAATTTTTAGATATTTGGACTGGAAACAAGAGAAAAACACTGTAAGTAAGAAGTAAGAAATGCATTTTTTGCCATTTTACACTGCAAATCTATCAGTTTCTTCAGGTGGACGGTCACCTTGACGGCCAGGTGATCCTCCCAGTCGTTGGTCAGGCTCTTGTAGAACTCGCCGTACTCCTCGTTGGTGATGTCATCGGGGTTGCGTGTCCACAGGGGTTTGGTCTTGTTGAGCTCCTCCTGGTCGATGTACTTCTCCTTGATCTTCTTCTTCTTCTTCTTCTTGTCGGAGCACTTGTCATCGTGGTCCTCGTCGTCTGAGCCCACGTCTTCGATCTCGGGCTTGTCCTCGTCCTTCTCGCCCTCCTCTTCCTCTTTCTTCTCCTCTTCCTCCGCCTCTTCATCATCGCTCACCTCCTTGTCACGCTCCTTCTCGACCTGAAAACAAAAGGTTTGATCTTTTATTTTGTTTTTAAATGCACAAAGCACAGCTTAAATTAATAAACTATACATGCATGAGAGGGATGTGATTGTCATTTTCCTTATTTATACAAGTACATTTTTTAAGCAAGATCTTCATCCTCATTTATATAGCGCTTTTAACAATGTAGATTGTTTTAAAGCAGTTTGACAGAGATAAACATATAATTGAAGGTAACAGAGATTGGTTTGGTTTTATATCAAATATTCTATTAGAAGAAAAGTGTACTGTAAGCATTAATAAATTGCTAAATTAAAAAAATCAATTGGAATGTAATTATAGCTTCATAAAAGTTTTTATGCACTTTTGAAAACGTAAGTACGAGGTCATTTTTTTAAAATTATGAAATAGTAGTTGAATCAGCAAAAATGTAAAATAAACAAAATACAAAAAAATCTTTTAAATATGTTCATTTTTTAAATTATGGAATAGTAGCTAAATGATACATTGGCAATTTTTTTAAATAAAATACAAAAAAACAAATGATTTATTATGCCTTTTTTTAAATAAGAGTATAGAATAGTAGCTTTAACATTATATCAACAAAAAAAATATATATATATAGTAATTTTTTTAATTATGGAATAGTAGTTAAATGATACATTATTGGCAAACAATGTAAATAAAATACAAAAAAACATTAATTATGTATTATGCCTTTTTTAAATAAAAGTATAGAATAGTAGCTTAATTAAACATTATATCAACAAAAGTTTTAAATAAACAAAAAAATATAATTTTTTAAATTATGGAATAGTTGTTAAATGATAAATTGGCAAAAAATACAAAAAAACATAAATTATGTATGATGTCTTTTTAAAAGTATGCAATAGTAGTTAAATTATAAAGTATGTTAGCAACCATTTAAATTAAACAAAATACTAAAAAATTATTAAATATGGTAATTTTTTAAAAATTAAGGAATAGTAGCTAAATTATACATATCAAAAAAAAAAAAAAAAAAAATACCACAAAAAAAAAGCTTTTACAAAATACCTCCTGGAAGTAAGAAAGGGGAAAATTAAACATTATTTAAATTAATTAACCTAAACCACGGTTTCCCCACACTGAAGCTAATAATTAAATCATAAATGTAAATACATAAAACAAATAAAAACAAAATAAAACTAATTTTATTTGCTGACCTGCATGTAATGTCACCAGAAAACAGTGAACATGTGAATGTGTGGTTAAATTATTGAAGCGTTAACTTAAAATCTAATGTCCTGTCCTGCAGAATGAGCCAATGAAAGACTCACGAAGAGCGTGATGGGGTAGCCAATGAACTGCGAGTGCTTCTTCACGATCTCTTTGACCCGCCGCTCCTCGATGTACTCCATCTGATCCTCCTTCAGATGCAGGATCACCTTAGTGCCGCGGCCCATCGGCTCGGCTATAGAAAACACTCATTTCACATTACAGTTCCAGGACAATAATTCAAAGATAATCGTCTTTAACCCTCTGGTGCTCTTTGGTAACGAAATTTTTTACTTTATCGGAATGGTACGAAACTTGGTAAAGGTTTTGGCTCTTGCTGTGTGAACACACACATAAATCATGGGCCTGATCTGAACAGGTTTAATGGTGCTGTGAACAATAGTCCCACTTGTGCTCCTCGCGGTCAGAAATGCCGCATTGGAAATGAATGGAGAGTTTCCTCTAGTGGAAGCGTTTGGAACTGCAGCCGAACACACTCTCACTGAACGCTCCTTTACTGAGAGATCAGCTCACATGCGGAACACACACTTGCTTAGCTTTATGGCTTTGGTTTTCTCACATTTTTTGAGTAAAACATGTTTTTGAAAATATAAAAAATTGAAAATAGTATTTTTGCACATTTTTCATAACAATAAACGTAAAACTTTTTTAAGTTAACTTTTTTCACGTCAGCAATAATCTGCCGAGTGTCGTCTTTAAAAAGAGATCAAACTTCAGTCCGTCGCTCTAAAGAATTAAAAATCTACCACAGTTTAAGTTGGAAATTTAATTTTCAACTTAAACTTTCAACGTAAAAGTTAATTTTCAGGTCTACGCCAAAAAAAAAAGTGAATAAATGCATTATAAATAAAGCGTAAATTTAATTTAGTACCATAAAATCAATACAAAATATTAAATAAAAACATTAGCGAACTAAAACATAGTACATTAATTTAATTGAAATAAAAAAATTAATTTCGCCCATTTTTGACCGACACGCGGAAAACACCAGAGGGTTCAAATAATTCAAAGACGATGGTATTTAAGCGAGCGCTTACAGGTGTCCACTTTAACGGTGAAGGATCCGCCTGCGGACGACTCCCATGCGTACTGCTCGTCATCTAAGTGTTTGGTGATGACCGTGACTTTCTCGGCCACCAGGTACGCGGAGTAGAAGCCCACACCGAACTGACCAATCATTGAAATGTCGGCTCCAGCCTGAAGGGCCTCCATGAAGGCCTTGGTGCCGGATTTGGCGATGGTGCCCAGGTTATTAATGAGGTCCGCTTTGGTCATGCCGATGCCGGTATCAATGATCGTGAGTGTGCGCTCTTGTTTGTTGGGAATGATTTCGATTTTGAGGTCTTTTCCTGAGTCCAGCTTGCTCGGGTCTGTGAGACTTTCATAGCGGATTTTGTCCAAAGCCTGATGGAAAACAGAAGAAATATTTAGTTCCTTATGCGTTACACTGTTTTATTTAAACGTTGTTAAATTGCTTGTAATGTCCTTTGATATTTTGTTTTATTATTTGCATGTATTTATGGATGCGTTGTTTTTAAAGTGCCCCTATTATGCTATTTTAAAGGTTCATAATTTTGTCTCCTACAACTGGTTTACATGCATCCCAGGTCAAAAACACACTTTAAAGTCGTCATGAAGACAAAATTTATAAGCTAAATAAATTATCAGCCAAAATTTTAAAATAAAATACAAAAAACAATTATGATGCCTTTTTTTTTAAATGATGGAATAGTAGTTCAATTATGCAATTTATCAGCAAAAATTTATTTATTTTTTAAATAAAGTTATGTAATAGTAGCTAAATTATAAAGAGAAGTAGTATGTAATTCCATATGCGTTACACTTTTCTCTTACGAAGCTTTATTCAGACACAGAAAAACGTAGTTAAATTGTACGTTTTGTTTTTTTAGTTGTATTATTTGCATGGATTTATGGATGCAATGTTTTTAAAGTGCCCCATTATGCTTTTTAAAGGTTCCTAATTTTGTCTCCTACATTGAAACGACTCAATATTCATTTTCACTTGGAAATACGTCAAAAACGGGGACTTTAATTTTCTTATAACACATTTCACATCACCTAAAGTCTGAAAACGGCTCGTTTGAAGATTCAGTCTCTCTAAGCCCCGCCTCTCTGAGAGCTGCTCTGCTGTGATTGGTCAGAAAGCAAACGCTCATTATCATATCTGACTCTCAGCTCTTGATCACAGTGATACGAACAGTAACGATGGCGTGGGTTTCACCGTATCAATCTCAGAAAACAGCGTCTCCTCGACACGAACAACACGAACCGAACTCTTCCAGTCTCAGATACTCTACAGTGTTTGGGGGCGGAGCTAAGAGACGCTGTTCAGCCAATCAAGACCACTAGCTGGCATTACGCAAATTAGTTACAAACCTACAGATTCAGCAGGAAGTGAGACTGAATTACTGATGACTAGTTTCAGTTCAGAATCGACTCTTTCTTTTAGGAGACAAAAACCCCATTTATCTTTGAAATCTTTGAAACTGCAGAGCTTTTCTCTTCACAAACAGCTTTATTACCGTATTTTCCGCACTATAAGGCGCACCGGATTATAAGGCGCACCTTCAATGAATGACCTATTTTAGAACATTTTTCATATATAGGGCGCACCGGATTATAAGGCGCATAAGATACTGCAGTCAAACGTTTGACTGGGTTTGCGTTATGCATCCACTAGATGTGCTAAAGGGAATGTAGCGAGTGCGCGGCGCCGGAGGCGAGGCGTTTATTAGTAAGTGTGAGCGCGCTGGGGTGGGCACGTAACTTACATTCGCAGCCTGACTCATGAGTATTCATGTGCGGCGGCTCGCTGACAGCAACAGCTGGCTGTTTTGAATGAGACGACCCGGTTACTGTGAACGGGGAGCGCTTTATGAGCATTCTGTGCCGCGCGAGCAGCGCCGGGGACAGTGTGTCTGTTCGTGTGTCTGTTCGTAATGGTGTGTTCACACCGAACGCGAATAGAGCGTCAAATACGCATCTAGTTAGACGCTTGAACATTCGCTCGAGTTTAAATTTTTCAACTTGCGCGGAAGACATTCGCGGCAAACGCAACGCCCGGCGCGAATGATGCGTCTATTCGCGTCTTTGCATTGACTTTGTATGTAATCTACTCGCGCAAATAATTGAATTCGCGTTCGGTGTGAACACACCATTACACACATAACCTGATTTCTACGAGGTTGAACTGGCCGTGTGACAGAGCGGGCATAAGATGGACACGAGCGCGAGTTCGCGGGCGAATTTAATAACGCGGAGCGTTATTAACCAATTGATCCATATATAAGGCGCTCCGGATTATAAGGCGCACTGTCGTTTTTTGAAAAAATTACAGGGTTTTAAGTGCGCCTTATAGTGCGGAAAATACGGTACACACTGCATGAAACGAAATATTTAAAAATGCATTATAAGTGCACTTTAAAGACTAAATACCTTTTTTTTTTGTATTATAATTTTGAAGTAAGTTTTGCATAATTTATCATATTTGTTACAGTATTTTTTTATCTTTGTTAATGTTAGTTAATAAAAATATAGCTGTTCATCGTTAGTTCACAGTGCATTAACTAATGTTTACAAATACAACCTTTGATTTTAATAACATATTAGTAAATATTGAAATTAATATTAACTAAGATTAATAAATGCTGAAGTATTCTTAGTTCATGTTAACTAATGAACCTTATTGTAAAGAGGGTAACACTTTATTTTACGGTCTCCTTGTTACATGTACTTACTATAGCAATAACAGTAAATTATGCATAATTACATGCAATTAACCCTCAACCAAACCCTAACCCTATAGTATACATGTAATTGCTTAATATTACTCAGTACTTAAATATATAATTACACTGTAACAATAACACTTTATTTTAGTGTCCTTGTTACATTTATTACATGTAGTTACTGTACTAATAACAGTAAATTATGCATAATTGCATGTAACTAACCCTCAACCAAACCCTAACCCTATAGCATGTAGTTAATTAATATTACTCAGCACTCAAATATACAATTACACTGTAACAATGGCACCTTAAAATAAAGTGTAACAGTAAAGTGTTACCTTTTTTATTTTATTACTAACTAAACAGTCAGTAATAGTAATAATAATAAGCCAGATTAGACTTTCTGTTATAAAGAAAGCATCACTCTTGCGCTACAGGATTACGCACATCTGAAGAGTTGGAGATGAGCTCTCTGAGGAAGATCTCTTTGTTGGAGTAGAAGGTGTTGATGATCAGAGACATGAGCTGAGCGATCTCAGCCTGGAAAGCGAAGGTCTCGGCCTCCTCGTCCTCCATCGGCTGGTCGTGCGCCTCCGGCATCTGTGAGTGTGTGGGACAAACACAATATTACATACACACACTATTTGACGAGGATCATTGGCACATCTTAGACGTGTCAGATTTGAGTTATTATGTGTGAAAAGCATCAAATTAAAGGACAGTAGAAGGAAGGGCGATTAATCGCATCCAAAATAAAAGTTTGTGTTTACATAAAATATATGTGTGTGTAATGTGTATAATTATTATACACACACATATATTTAAGAAAAATGTGTTATAAATATATCAAATATTTATATATAATATAAATGATGTATAAATATATACAGTATAAACATGCAAACATTTCTTAAATATATACATGCATGTGTGTGGATTTATATATACAAAATAATTATACATAGTATTATTATGTATTCATTTAAACAATGTAATACATTAATCATTTAAATTGCATGTTCCCTGTAGACATTGCATCAGTAAAGAAGCATGTGACAAGCAACATAACGAGATGTTGCTTGTCATTATTTAATTCTAATTTTAGCATTTAAAAAGCATTAGTATTTAATTCAAAGGAAGCTGGTTAAATGTGGATACTTCAGTTTATCCTAACCTGAACCATTTGAGGGCTCATAGTGAGGTTTAATTCAAAATGCACAAGTGTTATGCACATAAAACATATTAATTCTATTAATAACACATTAAACTCATTAGGCAGGGATTTATTTTATTTTAACTCCCACACTAAGCTGAAGGAAAATGAGCGCCACCTGCCGGTCCAAGCGGATCATTACAAGCTTCTAGAACCTACCGAACTCTCTATATCTAACATATTAGCATGGATAACATCACTTCAGTTATCACTGTACAGACGTTTAATATGTGAATGAGACACTATAATGCAATTAAATTCAGTCGGGAAAAAAAACAATACGTTATGCTTTAATATTGACATCCTCGATATTCATGTATACAACTCATATTTAAAATGCACTCTTATAAACATGCACATGCAATAATGATGTCCTCAGATGCTTTCATAAGCAAATTTATTGACAGTGAATCTTTTAATAGCCTCGTTTAATCTGATGAAAATCCTCTGAGGTAAAACTCCAGATGGACTCCTTATCCACCGCATCATTTCAAAATTAAGCCCTTTTAAATATAGTAACAGCGATTTACAGGTGTAAGAAAAACTTAAATGAACTTCATATTTGCTCAAATACCAGTTTTAAAAAATCTCCGTGTAAGTTAAATGTTAAGTAGCATCACAACTGTCAGCAGAATGAATGAAGGGGATTAAACGTCGAATATCCCCACAACATTTGCGTGATATAACACAACAAGTGAAATGGTATTGAATTAGGACGTTATTTCGATTATATTCTCTTACCTTTAATGATTTGTTAAAGTGAATTAGATTAGGCGGTTCTCCTGACGAAAGCTGTGAGATTTTTCTCCTCAACTGTCACTTTGAGAGACGCGTAAACTTGCGCGTGCGTTACGCTTATTTATATGCGTCCAGTTGAGAGAGTTCGAGAACGCGTACGTTCCACAAATCTCTCGAATCTTCTCAATGCTTTCCAATGGGCACGGGGGAGGGGCTAGGCTGTCAATCATCCACTCGTCACCATTACAACGGTTAAAGGGGGCGTATCCAGCAGTGAGGGACATGACATTTCTAGATCGCTGCTTATGGAAAATAAAAGCAGAAGTACAGCGAAATAAAGACAGACTTCAGATCATATGTATTATTAATCATTTATTAAAAATGTTCAACTCATGTTTACAAAAACAGCTTAAATTAGAAAAGCTCAGAACATACAATTTTCTGGTCACTACATGTAGACACACAAAAAAACATTCCATTAAAAATACATTCAATTTAGTGCTATGTACACTAAAACTCTTTAGTCAACTTCCTCCATTCTAGAACTGTCTTCATCGCCCTCCAGAACTGGCATATCTTCTTCAGCGGGTTGAGTAATGTCCTCTACAGTGGAGTCATCATCATCGATGCCTGCAAAATACAGATTAAATATAATTAAGTCACTTTTTCCTCAGAAATTTCATTTATATGACTACAATCTTAAAGTCACCATGAAATCAAAATATACAATTAAAAATTTTAATGGAATATTGCAGTGAGGATTTAACCATGTACATCATCATTTAAAAAATAAATAAAATAATGCGTTCATTAAAGATAATCTCTTGTCTTATGACGTGTTTACTGGCGCGAGGGCGGGTCAATCCTCAGCAATATATGAAAACGATCCAATCAATTCCCAATGGACAAAATTAAGGTTTCATGCCCATTTTAAAAATAAAGGTTCCAAAATGGGATTTTCTAAGTGATGCTATTGAAGAACCATTTTTTGGGTTCCCTGAAATAACTTTTCAGTGAACGGTTCTTTAAAGAACCATTTTTTCTCATTGTGAAGAACATTTGAATAATCTAATAAAGCTTTTTGCACTGTAAAAACAAAACAAAAAAAAACCTTTTGTGCAATGGAAAGGTTCCATGGATGTTAAAGGTTCTTCATGGAACCATCAACGCCAAGAAAAAAACTTTATTTTTAAGAGTGAGTGAGTGTTTTTTGATGGGCATTACCAATGACTAAAAAGCAGGGTGCAATTTAATGGTAAAAAAAACTGTACCCAGAAAGCAATAGCCATCATTTCACCATCTATGTTAACTATAGAACCAATATAGTCTGGCTATGACTCACATCTAGCCGAAATAATTTGGTCACATTACATGTTGTTTTTGCCCAAATAACTTGCGAGATGTATGAGATTCCATCATGTAAGCAAAGTAAACAGTGATTAAAAGGTGTTTGGTTTAATTTCTTTGACATGTTCTATGTTCTATTCTTGGGCTATGGTTAGACGTCTATTAAATTTTCTCTGACAGCCCAAATTTTAGCCTAGACGTCATGGCTGTGTTTGTACGGCTATTTCGCGTCTTTTAAATCAAAATGGCTCGCTCGTTTGGCATGTGAACTTACCAAGAATAATCTAAAGAAGCTTTTTCCACTACAAAGAAACTTTTTTGCAATGGAACGGTTCCATGGATGTTAAAGGTTCTTCATGGAACCATTAATGCCAATAAAGAACCGTAATTTTTAAGAGTAAGTGTTTTTTTAATGGGCATTACCAATGACCAAAGAGCAGAGTGCAATATAATGCTACACTCTAAAAAATGCTGGGTTGTTTTAACCAAATTGGGTCAAATATGGAAAAACCCAACAGTTCGGTTACATTTTTAAATTAACCCAACTGTTGGGTTTGTCCATATTTGACTGGGTTGAAACAACTCAGTATTTTGTAGAGCGTAATAAACTGTAGGCTTGTAGACATCAAACTTACCAAGACCAAGTTTGATCATCCTATAGATGCGGTTAGCGTGTGTTTGTGGGTCTTCCAGGGTAAATCCAGAGGAGAGCAGGGCGGTCTCGAACAGCAGGATCACCAAGTCTTTCACGGCCTTGTCGTTCTTGTCGGCTTCTGCTTTCTCTCGCAGGGTCTCGACGATGGGATGGAGAGGGTTGATTTCCAGGTGCTTTTTAGCAGTCATGTAGCCCATGGTGGAGTTGTCTCTCAAGGCCTGAGACTTCATGATCCTCTCCATGTTGGCCGTCCAGCCGTACGTGCTTGTGACGATGCAACAAGGCGAAGACACCAGACGGTTCGAGACGGTGACCTGTTTGGATACAAATCCAAATATTCATTATCATTTCAGAGTTCTGAAGACTATGCACTTCGAAATCTTAGTCTAGTATGCTAACGGCTTCTACCTTCTCAATCTTTTTGTCAAGAATGTCTTTCATGATCTTGCATAAGTTCTCATATTTGGTCTTCAACTCTTCCTGATTCTTCTTCTCGTCCTCGTCCTCGGGAAGCTCCAGACCCTCTTTGGTCACGGACACCAGATTTTTCCCATCGTACTCCTTCAGCTGCTGAACGCAGTATTCATCGATGGGCTCGATCATGTAGATCACCTCCAGACCGGCTTTGCGCAGACGCTCCACAAAGGCCGAGTTCGCCACCTGATCTTTGGTCTCGCCTTTGGAGAGTTTTGACAATTGTAAGAAAATGGTATCTTTGGGTTAAAGTAATGTTTAATCTGGTGTTAAGTTCATTAACCAACTACTGACCGGTGATGTAGTAGATGTGCTTCTGGGTGTCCTTCATACGAGACACATAGTCCTTGAGGGAAAGCATCTCGTCTCCAGAAGCAGATGTGTAGTAGCGAAGCAGCTCCGAGAGTTTTTTGCGGTTCTGAGAGTCCTCATGGATGCCAAGCTAGAATAGAAAATACACTTTAGGATATATCTTGGATACATTCATACCCCATCTATGAGTTTCATTAGCTACTCGAAAAGCACATATACCTTGATGTTCTTGGAGAACTGCTCGTAAAGCTTCTTGTAGTTGTCTTTGTCGTCGGCCAGTTCGGTGAAGAGATCCAGACACTTCTTGACCAGGTTCTTGCGGATGACTTTCAGGATCTTGCTCTGTTGAAGCATCTCTCTGGAGATGTTCAGCGGCAGATCCTCAGAGTCCACGACACCCTTAATGAAGTCTGGGAGGGAAAGTTTAACTCGTTAACACTTAAACTCTTGAGTCATATCAGTATCCAATGTCTAGGAATCATTTATAATGAACTCTTGAGACACTTACTGAGGTATTCAGGAATGAGCTCATCACAGTTGTCCATGATAAAGACCCTGCGCACATATAACTTAATGTTGTTTCTCTTTTTCTTGTTCTCGAAAAGGTCGAAGGAGGCTCTTCTGGGAATAAACAGCAGAGCGCGAAACTCCAACTGGCCCTCAACCGAGAAGTGCTGTATCAACAAGAAGATTGCTGGGCTTCTCAATAAAAGTCCAATCATTTTTATGTTACATTTCTGACTCAATATTACTACCAACCTTGACGGCCAGGTGATCCTCCCAGTCGTTGCTTAAACTCTTGTAGAACTCGCCGTACTCTTCATTGGTGATGTCATCTGGGTTGCGGGTCCACAGAGGTTTAGTCTTGTTGAGTTCCTGAGCATCAATGTACTTTTCCTTGACCTTCTTCTTCCTCTTGTTCTGGCTATCTTTGGTATCTTCATCCTCATCAGCCCCCAAGTCCTCAATCTTGGGTTTGTCTTTGTCCTCGCCAGCCACCTCCTCCTCGACCTTTTCTCCCTCTTCAAGATCAACCTCCTTCTCTCTCTGTTTCTCAATCTGCAAGATATTTTTATGCTTTATAATGTGGCCACTAGAAGCATTGGAAGGTTTGCAGTCCAGGTACCAAAGTAGAGGCACTTACAAAAAGCAGAATTTTTCCCCCCAGACTTTATAACAGGCATTTGCAACTTTATATTATGCAATTTGGAGTTTAGAACTCACAATTGTGAGAAAAAAGTCAGAATTGCGATAAAAAAGTCAGAATTGCAAGTTTACATCTCGCAATTCAGACTTTATAACACTCAATTGCGACTTTATATCCAGGTACCAAAGTAGAGGCACTTACAAAAAAAATGTGGGAATAAAAATTTTCATACTTTATAACACTCAATTGCGACTTTATATCATGCAATTTGGACTTTATAACTCGCAATTGCAAGAAAAAAGTCAGAATTGCGAGAAAAAAGTCAGAATTGCGAGAAAAAAAGTCAGAATTGCAAGTTTATATCTCGCAACTCAGACTTTATAACACTCAATTGCGACTTTATATCATGCAATATTTTTCCGTTTTAAAATCTGGGCACTGGAAGCATTGGAAGGTTTGCAGTCCAGGTACCAAAGTAGAGGCACTTACAAAAAAAAATGTGGGAACAAAAATTTTCATACTTTATAACACTCAATTGCGACTTTATATCATGCAATTTGGACTTTATAACTCGCAATTGTGAGAAAAAGGTCAGAATTGCGAGAAAAAAGTCAGAATTGCGAGAAAAAAGTCAGAATTGCAAGTTTATATCTCGCAACTCAGACTTTATAACACTCAATTGCGACTTTATATCATGCAATATTTTTCCGTTTTAAAATCTGGGCACTGGAAGCATTGGAAGGTTTGCAGTCCAGGTACCAAAGTAGAGGCACTTACAAAAAGCGTGATGGGGTAACCGATGAACTGAGAGTGCTTCTTCACAACTTCTTTGACGCGCTTCTCCTCAACGTATTCAGACTGATCCTCTTTAAGGTGGAGGATGACTTTGGTACCACGTCCAATGGATTGACCTATAATTGCAAAGCATGATTTGTTATTTAGTACTTTTTGAGATCCATTTGATTTGGATCAAAACTTTTAAGAGCTCATACCAATGTCTGGCTTCACTGTGAAGGATCCGCCAGCTGCAGACTCCCAGATGTACTGCTCGTCATCGTTGTGTTTGGTGATGACCGTGACTTTCTCTGCCACCAGGTACGCTGAGTAGAAGCCCACACCGAACTGACCGATCATTGAAATGTCGGCTCCAGCCTGAAGGGCCTCCATGAAGGCCTTGGTGCCGGATTTGGCGATGGTGCCCAGGTTATTAATGAGGTCCGCTTTGGTCATGCCGATGCCGGTATCAATG